GAATCAACGGGCAAGGAAGGGGTCCCATTTCTCGGGTTCTGGGCCGTTTCTCATGGTTCTTCCTTCTTTCGTGTACCACTCACCATCCCTAGGTTAATTTGAAATGGGTTGCTTTTTCATCGTGAATTCGTCCTTTAACACGTTGACGACAGCGCACGTTTTGGCTTTTTTCACCTCGTGGGACAATGGCTGTTTGGCGGCCGGGAATTCCGTGACGCGTTACCGCGTCCCGCTGTCCCACGAGGTGCGTTTTTTGGAACTTAACTCGGAATGTGACGAAACAAGATACAATGGTAGCTGGGAGTAGGGAACAGATGGTGACGCACCACAAAACCTGTCTGAGCCTTTCAGATTTCCGATTTCGGAGATAGTGGTAACGATGTCGCAGATATAGAATCCATGAGCCAAGAGCAATAAAGCCAGTCCAAAATATGTATATAGCTGGATATTTGCGCGTTCAAACTATCTCGCTGAGAGGGTGTAGGCAACTTGCGCGCAGCGTCGTGAACTCTAACCTCCCCCAACTCTACTATCGCTCGAAACATACACGTTTTACAAGCCGTGTTCAAGTAAGTTAATCTCTACTTCGAAAGTAAACGCAAATATGCACAGCCTGACAAAAGCTCCACTGAAAAAAAACGTTGATTAAGGCGCATCTAATGGCTGAAACTTATAACGATCCCAGCGACACAATGGATTTCGACGCTATGCTAGTCGCATCGGATGACGAAGAAGTAAGTGAAGATGAGGAGGATGACCTGCTTCCAGACACGGAATCAGAAGAATCGGAAGACGAAGAATCTGATAGCGAAAGTGTCTCTTCATGGTTGAGTGATGTTTTTCCACACGATCCTTGGGACTTTAGTGGCGCTACTACCCCAGATGATGCTGTTTTTGCCTGTCAAGAGCCTATAGATTATTACGAGCTGTTTCTTAACAATGAGATTTTAAGTCTAATCGTTGAAGAAACTAATCGCTACGGCAAACAACAGAGTGAAGAATTTCAAGAGACTAATCCGGATGAGATTAGAAGATTTGTTGGTCTTTGTTTGCAAATGGGATTGGTCAAGCTACCAAACCTACGACACTACTGGAGTTCGCGACCCGGTATTGGTGGTCATGCTGTTGCTGCCAAGATATTACCAAGGACTAGATTTGAGGAACTTTTAAGGTGTCTTCACCTAGCAGATAATGACAACTTTGACGGTGACCGACTGTACAAAATCAAACGATTCGTCCAGCTGTTCAACGACGCATCCGAAAAGTATTATCCAATCGGGAAAGAATTGTGTATCGACGAGTCGCTTGTTCCTTTCCGAGGAAGAATCGTGTTCAGACAATACATACCCTCCAAGAGGTATAAATATGGAATAAAACTATTCAAGCTGTGCGGAAAGGGTGGCTATACAGTGAGGATAAAGATTTACGCCGGCAGAGACCCATCAAGAGATGAACCACTCGCTGATAAGGTTGTAATGGATTTGATGCAAGGTTACCTCGACGAAGGGCGCACACTTTGCACAGACAATTTTTATTCAAGTGTTGGACTAGCCGAGAAGCTTATCTCAAGAAAGACTCATCTCGTTGGAACGATGAGGAGAAACAGAAGAGGAATCCCGACAGAGATAAAGGACAAAAAACTAAAAAGAGGTCAACTGTGCTGCAAGCAAAAACGAAATGGGATACTAGTGCTCAAATGGAGAGATAAAAGAGATCTGTACATGATCTCCACAAAACACGACGCAGCAATCGGATTGTCTCAGAAACCGAAAGTGGTGGAAAGCTATAACGATATGAAGGCATTTGTGGACCATTCAGATCAAATGGCATCGTGTACGCCGTTCGTGCGGAAAACAACAAAGTGGTACAAAAGGATCTTCTTCCATTTGATTACACAAACAGCAGTGGTCAATGCATGGAAGTTATATAAAGACGCAATAAGGAATATTCGACTGAATGACTTCAAATTAGAGCTGGTCGAATCAATGCTAAAGGATGAGCGGGACTATGTTCCAACTCGTACGTTCAACTACACGCGACATGAATTGGAGGAAGTACCCAAAGGTTCGAGGGGGGTTAATAGAAGAAGGTGTTCTGGTTGTTACGCAACACTTTCCAAAGAACGCGGGCGCGCAACGGCCGCAAAAAATACTAAAAGGGTCAACACGCGTTGCAGTAGGTGTAAAAAATTTTTTTATTGAATGTTTTAATCGGAAACACAAATCTTGCCAAGTGTAAAACTACTTTTTGTACTTCGCATCTTGTAAGCAATTGTTTTCATACCTCCTTTTTAGTGTATTCGCTAGCTTATTCCAGAATAAAAGTCGAAGTTGGAAGATAACTGAGGATTACATAAGGTTCAGAAAACCTTTGCTAAACTGAAGCATATCTAACCTATCCATGGACCACAGCGTTTATAGTTGCATTAATGTATGATCTATAGAATGAGTACAAAGACTTAGGAATAAGTCGCGCAAGCGCAAGAAAAAGGGATGACTTGGGTGGGACGCGTTACCGCGTCACAATGTCCCACGAGGTGCGCAAAGTGGGACGCGTTACCGCGTCAACGTGTTAATACCTAACTGTTGGAGTTTAAAAGGAGGTTCCCGTGATCGACTCTGTCAGAAGGCCTTTGACAAATCAAAACTGATCACATCCACTGATTTTCCAGAATTAATCGCTAAAGTCCAGTCAAAAATACAATCAGCGAGCTCTGTAACAGTTGAGGCTCCAGTCACAAAGCCATGCTGCTCAAGGGGAATGGAGTTGTTTTTGTTGAGCCATGCAAGAATTTTATCTCTCACTATTTTTTCAAGAACTTTTATGGGGGGCGGAGTAATGCTAATCGGGCGATATGAAGAGAGAAGTACAGAGTCACTACTTTTCGGAATCGCTGTGACGATAGATTCTTTCCACAAAAAAGGGACAGCATCGAGGCATTGAAGATCATTGCTAGTGGTTTGTAAAGCAAACTAGCACATTCTTTATAGATAATCTGGGATATTCCATGGAAAGTTGTGGAGCATTTGAGAGTTAACGATTTCCTGCATCGTCACGAAGAACAGGGAAGAAGTGCACGGGCTTTCATTCTCTTATTGATTAGGGAAAATATTGCCTTACTGCTGACAAAATTACTCGCATGTTTTTCACTGTTACTAAGGAACCTTCTCAAGTGACGATCCAATTCAGAGCGGATTTCAATAGGAGGGATTCACCAAAGGGTTTGATAGTGAATTGAATAATCTTAGTTTATGAGCCATTAGATTCACAACATGTTTGGGGTATCGCACCCTCTGTGGCTCAGTTGAATGGAAGGGAACACACTTAGCCAGGCCCATATATACAACACGGCAGAATTTTTTATATAGGTCATCCACAGACGCATAACACACAGGGCATCCCACCAGTAAATCGAATCTAAGTATGAAGAAAATCCACGAAAGTCAGTTTTATTGATGTTTGGGAGAGGTAGTTTGTTTACCTCGGGTTTAATCAACTCAACTTGGAACGCAACACCATTGTGGTCAGAGGACACAAAGAGCGGCTAAATCGAAACGTTTTTCAAAAGAGGCGCAGAAGATAGGACTAAGTCTAGAACTGAGTCCCCCGAGTAGGGTCGAAGACATAGTTGGTTATTCCACAGCACTTGAAGAACTCTAGAAACCTAGAAGAACATGCATTTTTTGAGAGTGGAATTATTTAGTCGGGGCGGAAGTGGTGTAGTGACAAGTGGCGCGCTCACCACGCGAGCGGTCCGGGATCAAATCCTGGGTCGTGAGTCGCCCGGGCCAACCAAGCCTTCCATCCCTCCGGGGTCGGTTAATTGGTACCAGACTTGTCTGGGAGGATAAAAACACTGACTTGAACATCGGCTGGCCCCCGCAAGTCATTGTATAGGCCACATCGCATTCAAACGCCACTGCGAATGTACAAATGGAAGTAGAATGCGTGCCGCATCCCAAAAAGGGATTGATCAACGGCAAATGCTTTATCCTTTATCCTTTTATGCTAATTTTTTTATTCCATGTCAGCATCAAGATTGCAAATCGTCCTACCAAGATCATATATTCTGCAACGGCAAATGGGAGAGATCAAGTAATATGTCCACAAATTGTTCATCGTCTCTTACAGAAGAGTCAGGAGGACGATAAATAAGGACAATTCTAACATTTTCCGGAAAGCAAGGAATCAATAACATCTAGGCACAAAATATCAGACTTCGACTCCGGGATATACTTAAATACTTGGGGAAATTTTCAAGCCATTTTAACCAGGCAACATACACCACCACCTTTTCGGTGCGTACGATCATATCTGAATAGTTTGTATGGAAGATCGATGATGATTTCAGAATCGGAAATTTTAGGTGAAAGCCATGTCTTAGTTATAAGCAATATATCTGGCCCACAGGTACTAAGTAAAAGGTGAAGATGATGTAAGCTTGTTCGAGAGACTCCTTGAGTTGAAACAGTAAACAATTTAAACCCTTGAGAGAACGATGACAGTTTGAACGTTTCCCGCAGCCTCTGCCTTGGGTAGGTTGTGCGCTACTCTTAGTTAACCTCGGGAAACTACCCATTTACGGCTCTGTGCTTGCTCTTTACCGCTCTTACATTCCTGCCTGAAGGTCATAATGTTGCTTGCGCTCTGTAGCTGTCAAACTCTTCCTCATAAAGATTTTAGAAAACTCTGAACTACGCAAGCGGTATGAATTTGTTAGAGCAGTTATCCAATGGGATTGAGACGGTAGGACTAATTTCAACAAGACGTGACGTGAGCGTGAGTCATCCAACTTACCTAGTCCGATAGATCACAAGCGGTCGACATTCGACCCCAATAGTACCTAACACGCGGACAACTTTAGCCTCCAGATCCGCCTGCTTAGCAGACGGTTGCAGCTCAGAAGGAGCCTCAGCGAGCCCGGCGATGACGAGGCTACGCGCCCGCTTCTCAGCCCAATGCCATTGAATATCTCCTCAGGTAACTTGTCCTCAAGAGCCCTCACCATTTTATCGATTTGTGGATCTTTATTGCGTCGAAGAATTGCATCTAAAATTTCCCAAGAAGACAACTAAGGGTAATCCACTTGTGCTGGGTTGGCACCTTCCACCTGATCGGAATGATTTGTAGAGGCTTTACTCAATGAGTCACAGATTAATTCATGTTTCTTATTGATCGCGGCATAACGCCATAAGAGCCACTCTATAGAGAATTCGGGCTCATGTCATTCACTTCCTACTATTTAAATATAGTGTAATGTGCTGGCAATTCGTAATGTTTCGCACTAGAACAATCATTAATGCCATATTATGCAGCGCAGTGAGGACTCGAGAGGAAGAAACCTTGCTCGGTGCCTGAGGAAAGAGAACTAATTCCTGAGATAGTTTTCATCATGAACCGCTTAGAACTTACCTCTCACAGTCGACTTGTTTTTGATGTGCTGTGAGCCAAAATCCGGAGTCGTTAGTTGATTCAATTAGCGCTTGTAGGTATTCACAAAGACATAGAAACCTGACACGAAAGTATCCTTATGTGGACTTGTGAGCGGAGAGCGGCAAATACGCTTAAGGTAATAGGCCATGGGATTTTTTGACTCTCTTTCCTCGAGATCTACACCGCTTGATTCGCATAGCAATGTATATTCAATTCGAATTAACGGATAATGATCCGCTTATAGAAGCGTTCGGCAATGTCTGTTGCGAATTAATATTCCTAGGCGCGGTTGGTATACTCATAAGGGCCTTCCTACGCGGAACTGAGAGAGGCCTGAAGATGATGAATTTGAGGGTAATGAAAATTTGTTTGGTAAAAAATTTTGTTGGCATCTTCACATCATGACACTTGATTGCATGCACGGAAAATTTTCGTTTGCGGCTAATCCCGTGGCTTGCCTTTAATGAACCATGAGAGCGCTGCGGTAGTGGCCCTGACTCGTAAGCAAGAGGCCGTGGAATTGGCAGCAGTGCGCGTTCGTACCTTTGCTCATTTGAGAAATATGTTACTTTCTAGCTTTATTCCCCAGGTAGAACAGAAGTACGGGCTCGCATTGAAGTGGACCACGTTATCTCCTGCCTGTGAGTTAGAGTCACTTCCGCTGTACATTCTTGCTTCATAAGTTCTTCAAGGTAAACGCGAATACGAAAGCAGATTCAGACCCAGCGTCGTGAGGCTGAAGGTTTTGGGTATGTCACCCATTTTAAATGGGCGGTTTGCCAATTAACCTGCAAATTTCCTAGTACTTCTTGGAAAATAAATTTAGCAGATTATACTAAATGCACTGTTGTTTGACTTCATCTCTATTTCATCACCTAGTACCTATAGAACTCTCAGCCCTTTTTTGTCGATATGAGGGATCTGCTTCAAGGAACACGACGTGACCTAAGACGTGCAAGGGGAACTCCGGACTTATTTAACCCTTTCGGCCCTGGCGGTGGCAATTGCCACCACCAAATTCAAACGCTTGCATTGCCGCTGAAACAGCATGGTTTTTCTAATCCTGCTAGAGGTTGCTTCAGTCAACCTTCCCCTTCCTAATTATGAGCTAAACCTGCCATTTCATTGTGTGTTGCTGTTAGTATTACAAGTATTTGTGTACAAGTGCAACAATGAATCGGCGCTGGTCCCCGCAACCGGCCAAGTAAGTGTCACTTTTTCTTAAAATACTTGAAGTAGATCCATTCCTAAATCAAAATTATGGGTTATAATGTTATGCAAGATTATAAACTTTTTCGGCATAACTATGAAATTTCGAATTGTTTCGACATAAGCTTAAAAACTAAGAAGGTGGGCCAATTTTCAAAGCTTCTTAGTTTCTTTGTTTGTGATCGAATAGCTTCCAAATTTCGCCATAATGATACCTATATGCTCACAAGTAATAAACAAT